AGCCTGTCATCCCAGCACTTTGGGAGGCCGAGGCGAGTGGACTGCCTGAGCCCATGGGTTTGAGACCCGCCCAGGCAAATTGGCAAAACCTCGTCTCTACAATAAAAATTTAAAAATTAGCCAGGCGTGGTAGTGCGTGCCTGTGGTTCTGGCTACTTGGAAGGCTGAGGCGGAAGGATCACCGGAGCCCAGTAGGTAGAGGCTGCGGTGGCCAGGAGCGTGCCACTGCACTCCAGTCTGGGCGACAGAGTGAGACTTCAACTCAAAAAAAAAAAAAAGAAAGAAATCCCAGACTCAGGCAATCCTCCTGCCTCAGCCTCCTGAGTAGCTGAGACTACAGGCACGTGCCACCATGCCCAGCTTACTTTTTTATTTTTTGTAGAGACGAGGTCTCGCTGTGTTGCCCAGACTGGTCTCGAACTCCTGGGCTCAGGCAGTCCTCCCGCCATGGCCTCCCAAAGTGCTGGGATTACGGGCCTGACCCACCATGCCTGGCCTGACAAGGTCTCTGTTGATGGTGCCCACCCTCTCTGCAGGTCGTGCTAATCGGAGACGGCGTCGGTGGCATCCTGGGCTTTGATGCGCTCTGCCACAGTGCCAACGTGGGCACCGGAAGTCGGGGCAGCAGCCGCCGGGGAAGCATGGTCAGTGTGGCTGAACCCAGCCTCCTCAGGAAGGGGGTGTCTCTGCCTCTCAGTCTCTGCCTCCTGGACCATGGCTACCTGCATGTGGGCGGGTCCCCTGCGGCCTCACTAGTTCAAGCCTGGGACCCTGCCCCATCCAGCCTCCAAGCCTCTCTCCTCCCTTCTAAATAAGTAGAAATCGAACAGTCTCCGGGCCTAAGGCTGTCTCTGTCCGCTCTTTCATCTAGAACAATGAGCTGCTCTCCCCAGAGGCCGGCCCAGTGCGGGACCCCCTGGCAGACGGCATGGAAGGACTGGGTCGGGCCAGCCCAGAACCCTCAGCCCTGCCTGCCCAGCGCACCCCCAGCGACATGGCCAGTCTGGAGCCCGAGGGCTCTCAGAACAGGTGACATCCTGCCCCGTCACCCCTGCCTTGGGCACATGCTGGACTGTGGTTACTGCAGTACTGAGCTCCCCTCCTCGCCCGCAGCCTTCAGGCAGGCCCTGCAACCGCCTCCTCCGGGGATCCCCGGCGGGCAAGCACAGCCTCCTGCCCACCCACCGCCAGTTCTGAGGCTCCCCCCGATGGCCCCACCAACGCTGCCCGCCTCGACTTCAAGGTCTCAGGCTTCTTCCTGTTCGGCTCCCCACTAGGCCTGGTGCTGGCTCTGCGCAAAACTGTGATGCCTGCCTTGGAGGGTGAGCACCTTTGATGGTGGGGGGGTGAGGCCGCCTCTCATCTTGGCCCAACCCTTCCTGCTCCATCTTGCTGGCCTTCCGCCTCGCCGTGGGCAGTATCCCAGTCATCCCCTGCCATACTAATGAAAAGGCCTGGCTAGAGGGGAGGAAACCTGAGGCCTGGGAAAAAGGAACTTGCCGAGAATGAGTCTCCCAGAGTGTTCTAGAAGAGCTTTGCACCCATGGGATATTTTGCATGAGAAGGGGGCCAGCAGGCCCCAGAAACGCTTCGCCTCCACCCACAGCAGAGAGCTGAAGCCCAGAGACCCACCTCACTCTCACCAGGACCCTAGTGACTTCCCAGGAGGTGCAGCCTAGGCAGTGCTGACTCAGGGCCACGCCAGGGAGCTGCTTCCACAGCCCTGCCTCCCAGAGGGCCCAGCTGAAGCCCCTCCCCACCTTTCTCTATCTTCTGGGTTCACAGTGGCCCAGATGCGCCCAGCCTGTGAGCAGATCTACAACCTATTCCACGCGGCCGACCCCTGCGCCTCCCGCCTCGAGCCCCTGCTAGCCCCCAAGTTCCAGGCCATCGCCCCACTGGCCGTGCCCCGCTACCAGAAGTTCCCCCTGGGAGACGGCTCATCCCTGCTGCTGGGTATGCCCCCACCCAAGATAAAGGAGAGGAGGGGGAGGGGAACCCTACCCTAGCCCCTTGGGTGGGGGTGGTTTGGATTCCCAGGACCCTGTGACTGTCCGCACACTTTGCTTCCACCCAGATAGGGGCCAGCGCTGCGTCAGCCAGGGCCCAACCGGGGAGGTGGGCAGGGAAGACGGTTGGAGGTGCAGGGACCCCTGGGCAGAAGACAGGAGGGCAGCCCAGCCCAGCCCAGCCCGCCGCTGAGCATGTCCCTCCTCCCCTAGCTGACACACTGCAGGCCCACTCAGGCCTCTTCCTGGAGGAGCTGGAGATGGTGCCCTCAACGCCCACCTCGGCCAGCGGCGCCTTCTGGAAGGGCAGTGAGCTAGGCACTGAGCCCTCAGCCCAGACAGCCGCCCCCAGCACCACCAGTGAGGTGGTTAAGAGTAAGTCAGGCACCAACGGCCCGGGCACTCCAGCTGGGAGGGGGCGGCGAGGGAGCGGGAAGAGGCCCCCAGCCCACCTCTAAAGCCCAGCTGAACCACCCTCTGCCCAGCACCCAGCCTGGACTTGGCAAAGGGCAGGCTCGGTGGAAAGGAGGGGGCCAGAGCAGCCCGGGGCCAGGCGATGGGCACGGGGCAGGCGGCCGTCCTGACTCGCTGCCACGTGGCCGTGCAGTCCTGGAGCGCTGGTGGGGGACCAAGCGGATCGACTACTCGCTGTACTGCCCCGAGGCGCTGACCGCCTTTCCCACCGTCACGCTGCCGCACCTCTTCCACGCCAGCTACTGGGAGTCCGCCGATGTGGTGGCCTTCATCCTGCGCCAGGTGGGCTTGAGGTCGCGGGGAGGGAGGACCCGGGCGGGGGAGGGCCAGCGCCCCCTCACGCGGCCGCCCGCGTCCCGCGCAGGTGATCGAGAAGGAGCGGCCGCAGCTGGCGGAGTGCGAGGAGCCCTCCATCTACAGCCC